AGCTGCCACGTATTTAGGTTTTATCTATGAGTAATAGAGGGCTGCACACTTATCCAAGCCCCAAGTAATTTGAGGATATCTCCTAAGTTATCAGTCAATGAGAGGCAAGGAAGGACCTACACAACACCTACCTACTTGTAGATTTGTAATCATTACCTTGAATTCCTCAACTATTAATAGAAGACTCCCTCTCTCATTTTCAGGATTCTGATAAAAAAAACCCATTCTGCTTGTAATATGTATTTTTAGAGCAAAGATAACCTACGAAAAAAAGACTGACTTGATATTCTCTTTGAATATTAAGTTATTGTACCTCTGCTTGCTATTGCTATACGCAACCTCTTGTAATCTCCCATATATAAAAGAAACAGTGGACGTAGGATTCACTTTAAGCATCCGAACCACTTTAAAAACCATCTCTTATTTATTATTTAGTCTTTGCATTTGATTATCCCAATCATTCATGTGTAATTTCTAAAAGCAGCTTAGCACTTTGCACATGCGAGTCGTTGGTGTCAAAATCAAGCATCAACAGTTTAGCGCTAGAAGGAGGGCTTGGTTTAGTATTCGCTCTTCCCCAAGAATCTCTTATCAATCAGCTTTACTCGCGAACAAATGGCTCGTGGTCTTGAAATCGAGCAAACTAACACCAACAGCGAGGAGACCCCCCAGGTATAGGATGTTACTTCTCCTGAAGTACCTCCAGCTCTGCAAGGTACTATGGCAAATATCACCTTAACCTCTCAGCTTGACCTAGCTATGATGAATTACCTGGAGAGGTTCAACAATACTCTCCAAACGGTTAGTTGAAGGCTAGATCGTTTGGATCAGGTCATACCGCCCAATTCCGATAGGGCAGTGCCACACCAAAGACACCTGTAGGTCACGTTAAAGCGTAAAAATAGGCGAAAGCCAATGCCACGTGCACTACGGCGCTTAAAGACAAGGGAAAGCAAGTGGCAGATAGTGGGCCAAAGGGCTTGAAAGGACCATTGAATACCGGTCGTGAAGCAGGTAGAATACCTGTGGCTTTGGGACTTGATGGTATGTCGCATCTTGAGCCATCCCACACTACATCGCATGGACACCCCCAGAAGAGTGCAAGGCAAGGAGACTCCCATTATCGTTGGGATGATGGTTCTAACCATCACCGCGAGGGAAATGCCCACCGTCCACGAGTCGGCTCTGACCACTGTAGGGGTTCGGATAACTCCCTTAACCATTCAATGCCTTCACATGGCTCCAGCCAGCGTGTGCCAAGGTATGCCAAAGGCTCCGGCCAAGGAAGGGAAGAGTCCGATCTACGACATTTCCTCAATCGTAATCGTGAGGGGCGAACCCATGTTACGAAAAGTGATCCCCAAGTAGCTCCGCTTCCTCAGATTATGGAGTTACAGTGAGCTTTGGATCATATTAGAGCTTAGCAAAATGAGCGAGAGTAGGTCACTAAGGCGTCTATCTTTTCTCCAACAATGTTGATTGCTCTTCTCCTGTCAAAGTTTAGAATGCCTGATATGTGAGCATTTGATGAGAATTATGATCCACATGATCATCTCTATGAGTTTAACGACCTCATGGAGCTTCACCAAGTTTCCAATATGGTAAAATGTCGCTGCTTAGCAGTGACTCTAACTGCCCACACCAAGCGCTAGTTTAGATCGCTTCTACCATGATCTATTAACTCGTGGCAGCATATGAGTTCATTATTTCTGAGACACTTCCAGGCTAATAGGAAGTTCTCAATACTGTTGAGCTATCTAAGCAACATACAGTAGGAGAGGAACGAGTCCCTCCAGTCCTATATTGATAGGTTCCACAGGGAGCTGAATAAGGTGGCCAATACACTCAATGATTCAGTTCGAACTCTTATTATTACGAGAGTTCGCCCGTAAACTGACCTGTGGAAGAAGCTGCAGTTTAAGGATGATATTTCTCTCACCTGCTTCTACAACCTTAATGAGAAATATCTCAGAATTGAAAGTTTAGTGGCTGCCTTGAATCGCCACAACCCTGGTCCTTTGACTAGCACTCCCAGTCGGAGGGAGGAAAACTGGGGAGAGTGTAGTAGAAAGCTTGATAACAAGTAGGCTAATGACGATCAGAGAAAGGCAAAGAAGCAGTGATTTGAGCCCAAAAAGCCTTATGCCCAGGTCCTTTGTCGCGATCGCGACAAGAATCAGTATACTCTGCTAAATGCATTGGTATTAGCTATTTTGGATAAATCAAAATAACCTAATTTGCTTGAAGAGCCAGTGCCCATGAATAATCCCTCTTTAGCAAGAAACAACAAGAAATATTGTCATTATCATTGGGATAATCGGTACCATACTAATGAATGCTGAGCTCTTAACTTGGAAATTGAAGACCTCATTAAAAAGGGGCACTTCAAGGAGTATGTTGATGATCTAACTCCCATTTAGGAGAAGGATCAAGGGGACCAAGGGAAGAAGCATCGTGGTCGTAAGTGCCTCCATCTTGTTGGAACTATATTTGGAGGATCACATCTCATGGAGAATTCTCAAAGTGCTCAGGAGAAGTACGCTTGAGAAGCTCGTCATGACCCCGTGAGTGTGATGAGCACGGCGTTGTGACCTACTAAGGTGCGTAGAGAGGAAGAGATTACCTTCTCAGAGAAAGATGGAGTATGATTGCATCACCCTCATGAGGATGCATTCGTCATCGCGACTGAAATAGGTCGGTGCAAAGTCCACAGGATGTTGGTGGATAATGGAAGCGCCATAAACGTCCTATTTCAGTGAGCATTCGAGGAAATGCAATTGGACGAGGCAGATCTGAAGCATGCCTCTATCCCCCTCTATGGTTTCACTAGGAATCATCTGATTCTTAAAGGAACGATTGCACTTCTTGTTACTTTGGGTGAAACCCACGAAGTGACTAAGATGACAGAGTTTTTTGTGGTAGATTGTCTGTCCGCTTTCAATGGTATATTGGGATGACTTCTACTACGAAACTTGAAGGCTGTCACTTCCATTTATCATCTGAAGATGAAATTCCCCACTTCGATGGGGTGTAGGGAGGTTAAATCTCATGACTGTTATGCAAGAGCGGTGCAGATGGCATGCAAAGGGAAGGGGAAGCTAGTGGGTGTTCCTGAGTAGGCTATGGCGATCTACAAAATCGAACCTCAGCCAGGTCTAGTGGAAGACAACATAGATCCTCGTGTTCAGGAGGAATATTCCCACAGTGGGCCTATTGAGACTCTATTTGAGGTATTAGTCGACCAGAGTGAGCTAACTCGTGTATTGAGAATCAGAAGTAATCTCAGCTCTCAGCTCGTTACTGATTTAACAAGCTTCCTCAGAAAGAATATTGATGTCTTTGCATGGACTCATGCTGATATGGTCAAGATCAGCTCGAATCTAATATGTCATGCACTTAACATCGATGGTGAGGTCAGGCCAGTTCACCAGAAAAGAAAAGCCATGGACTTAGAGCAATATGTTGCTCTTAAGATTGAGGTAGATAAACTCCTCTCAATCGGGTTCATTCGAGAGGTTCGTTACCCGAGTTGGGTCGCCAATCCTGTTTTAGTGAAAAAACCTAATAGCAAGTGACGAACCTGCGTTGATTTCATGGATATCAACAAATCTTGTCCGAATGATAGTTTTCCTTTGCCTAGAATCGATCTGCTCGTTGATGCCACTTCCGAGCACAATCTATTAAGCTTTATGGATGCTTATTAAGGTATAATCAGATCCTGATATACACGCCCAACGAGGAGCATACCTCGTTCATCACAGATCGAGGATTGTACTGTTATAAAGTCATGCCTTTCAGTTTGAAAAATGTTGGGGATACCTATCAGCGTTTGGTTAACTGTATGTTCTCCGAGCAGATCAGGAAATCAATGGAAGTCTATGTCGATGACATGCTGGTCAAGTCGAATGTTGCTTCAGATCACATAGCCAATCTCGCAGAGATGTTCAACGTATTCTGGAGGTATAAAATGAAACTTAATCCTCTTAAGTGTCATTCGGAGTATCCTCAAGGAAATTCCTGGGGTATATAGTTAACCATCGGGGGATCGAGGTCAACCCTAAGAAGATCAAAGCTCTCTTAGATATGAAAAGTCCCGACAATCGAAAGCAAGTTCAGAGCTTGAATGGGAGAATAACGGCTCTCAGTCGCTTCATATCGAGAGCAACATATCGTTGTTTGTCGTTCTTCAATATACTTAAGGCCAATAAGAGATTTGAATGGACTTCAAAGTGTGAGCGAGCCTTCCAAAGCATAAAAGAGCATCCTGGAAAGCTACCTCTCCTGTCCAAGCCCCTTCCCAAGGAAATCTTATTTCTCTACCTGTCCATCTCTCAGTATGCGATCAACGCAGCTCTGATTCGAGAAGAGGGCAGAATTTAGTGGCTAGTATATTACACGAGCAAACGCTTATTGGACGTCTAGACTTGGTATCTAGAGATGGAACGATTAGTGTATACCCTGCTGATCGCTTCTAGGAAGCTGCAACCTAATTTCCATGCCCATATTGTTCATGTATTAACCAACTACCCACTCAGGCAGGTCCTTCAAAAGCCAAAGGCTTCAATTAAGTTGCTTAAGTGGGTTATGGAATTAAGTCAATTCGATATGCATTACAGACCGAAGACAACAATCAAAGGGCAGGTTATTGTTGACTTTATCTCGAAATTCTCTCATCAGCCAGATTGGGAATCCGAGCAACCAACCAATGAAATTGTCTGGGAAACTATTCGGAACTTATCAACATGGAGTCTCTATGTTGATGGGTCTTCGAACAAGAGAAGAGTTGGAGCTGATCTTCTGCTCGTTAGCCCTAAGAGAACTTCCATTTATAGAGCTTTAGGTTTGGATTCAAAACTACAAATAATGAGATCGAGTATGAAGCATTATTCATTGGTTTATAACTAGCAAGAGAAATGGGATCAGATATGATCAACATTAATAGCGACTCCCAACTAGTTGTTAATCAGATTTTGGGAGAGTATCAAGCCAAATAGGGCAATATGATCAGTTACTTGAAGAAAGCTAAGGTCGTACTCGAGCCTTTCAAGTACTATATGATTAGGCAAATCTCGAGAGATAGTAATTCTATCCTAGATGCTTTGGCAAAGATAGCCTCATTGCTGGACTTCGATGCTCCAGATAGTATTCGAATCAAATACATCAAAGCTTCTAACATCAGCTCACCTGATCAAATCATAGCCGCTAATGAATCCATTTCCTGGATGACTCCGATTGTTCAGTATCTCAGAGCTGGGGTTCTTCATAACAACAAGACGGAGGTAAGACTCCTGCAAACTCAAGCTGCTCGTTACACTTTTATTGGAGATCAGTTATATAAGCAAGGGTTTAACATTCCCCTCCTCCGATGTGTAATGAATGATGAAGTAGACTATATCATGAGAGAGAAACATGAAGGGATCTGTGGTAATCACACTGCTACACGATCTGTTGCCAATAAAATTATCCGTTAGGGATATTATTAGCCCTTACTTCATGAAGATGCCTTCAACTTTGTGAAGTAGTGTGATAAGTGCTAGAGACATCTTGAAAGCTCCTTCCCAGCAGTTAACGATGATGACAAGTCTTTGGCCATTCTCTATGTGGGGAATTGATCTCATCGAACCCATGCTAACCGGTAAAAAAGGCATCAAATATGCTGTGGTCGCAGTGGATTAATTCACTAAGTGGGTCGAAGTAGAGCCTTTGGCCGCGATCACTACAAAGAAGCTTAAAGACTTCATCTTCAAGAATATAGTGTGCCACTATGAGATTCCTCATACACTCATCTCTGATAATGGGAAGTAGTTCGATAATGAGGAATTCAAGTAGTTTTACGAAGAGTTGGGGATTCAGAAGAAATTCGCCTTAGTAGCAAGGCCACAAGCTAATGGTCAAGTTGAGGCTATCAACAAGACTATCAAGCACACATTGAAGGACAAGCTTGACGCAACCAATGGCAATTGGGCCGATGATCTTTTAGAAGTTCCATGGGCATCTGGAATGACCCCAATAACCTCTACTTCAGAAACACCTTTCTCACTAGCATATGGCTATGAGGCAATGGCCCTAGTAGAAGTAGGAGCTGGTTATCTTCAGAGAGAATTTTTCAGTGAAATAGACAATGAAGCACTTCGACTTGCAAGTTTGGATTTAGTGGATAAAACAATGTGACAAGGCTGGGTTAAGGATAGCTTCCTACTAGTAGCGGGCAAAAAGATTCTTCGACTCTAAAGTCAAGAGAAGGGATTTCTGGGTTTGTGACCTGGTGTTAAAAGAAGTCATTCTCGACATAAGAGAACCAAGTGCGGGGGTATTGGGACCTAATTGGGAGGTCTATATCACGTCGCTAAGGTGATACGACCTAGAACATATCACCTCAAAAGGCTTAATGGTTCTGAAGTGTCACGAGCTTGGAATGTTGAACATCTTTTCCCTTATTATTAGTAATTCTGAACTCGCATATAGCTTGATCATTTTTACTTGTAAAGTTTTCATTATTGTAAATTTTATGAATAAGATTATTTCAATTCCTCTCAAAGAATTACTTGTGTCGTAATCTCAAGTTTTTGGTAATCTTGTTATTTATAACATTTTACAAGTTTGATGATCAGATATGCTATAATTGTTTTGTGAAATGCTTAAGTTATAAAACTACTATCACAAATGGTCAAATGTTCCTTTTTATATATCTTAAAAATATGTACAGGGGGCGACCAGGAGCTACATTAGAAAACAATGAGCACAAAAGACTCTATTCGAGCACAGAAGAGAGCGATCACTGGTCTTCATTTCCAAGATCCTTAACTGTGACCTCTTGGTCATCTAGCTGATCTCCAACCTTCGGGCCGATTGCTTGTCTTCAAGGGCATCTGTTTCTTGCTGATCATCCTCCAGGGAAGGCTCTTGCTCTTCTTTATCTTCAGCCTCAGCCATGGAAGCAAGAGAAACTTGATAGTCCTCAGGGAGGTCGGAGATGTCCATTTTTGGATTGTTCAGTCCCAAGCTAAAGATAGCTTGCAGCACCCATGAGCAGCCTTCCTCTCTATTTCGAGGTTCTACTGCTTCATTTGCTTGGTCAACAAAGTGATTCATCCTTGAGCCAGCTCAAGATTTGTCTGCAGTGCCCTCTTCTCCTTCTCTGATTTTTCCCTTAACCCAACTCGAGTCTTTTTTGTTGCTTTTTCGCTCTCTAAGCTCGCTTGTAGCTCATATTCTTTTTGGCCCAACTCTTTGGTGAGCTTTGCCACTATTCATTGGAGCTCCTTATTGTCACCATCTTTCTTCTTGAGCTCGACCTTCTGAAAGTCAGCTGCTCACATAGCAGAATTCCTTTCAGTCAAGCATACATTCGCCTAAATGTGGGTAGTTTTTGCCTCTACATCTGAAGCTGCAAGATCTTGTTTCAGTTTTGCAATTTTCTCCCTCATCTCATGGAGTTTGCTAGCAAAATCAATCTTTATCTTCTGTTGGGCCACATTCAGGGCAAGCAAAGACTGCTTGAAAAAGGAACAAAAAGTTAGTTTTTGAGAAAAAACTAAAAGGTCGACTTGTATGAAAGAAGTTCTCAAAGAGAGCAAGTCATTTTATCTGACTTTGCATTTGAAGTGCGATGGCCACCAAATCAATAGGTCGAGAAGCCACGAACTTGTCAAAGGTCTTGGCAAGTTGGCATTCTAAAAGGGTGTATACCACCGGCCATAAATGATCCGGTAGTTGCCCTAAAAAATCCAACACGGGCAGGTCAAGCCTCGTTGAGGTATGACCCCCTTCGACCTAGTGCTCACCTGCTCCTTCCTGAGCAGCCGTGGTCGCTTTCTCTTCCCTTTGCAAACTCTCAGGGGCAGTCGAGGTCCCGGGAACCCCTTTTAAGGTTGTCTTCGCAGAGAAGGCTTGGTAAGGCTGAAGCCTATCTGGCAATACCCCGTAGCCTTTTGATTCAGATTTAGTTTCCTTTTCAGTGGGTATTGTCTTTCTCTTCTTAGACTTCTGGCCCACGGTCTTCTTCTTCGATGAATGAGCAATGGCAAGCCAGGGAGCGTCGTCGTGTCGCTCTACGGTTTGGTGCCTTTTGGCACTAATTTGTATCCCCCTTGTAGGGATATCGCTGGAGGTCACTCTAGCTGGTTCAATTGGATTGATCTTGGGAAATGCAAACCCCTTAGGCTTTTTCATCTTTTTTGCAACCTTCGGTGTTATAGTTGTTGCATGGCATAAAGATGCGTCAGTAAGCAAAGTTTGATTTTGTTAAAAAAGACTTAGAGTTCTTCTGTGTAAGAGATACTTACAAGCTGAACCTTTCAAAGATGCGTTAGGAGTGAAAAACTCGTACTTCTGCATGTTGGTGGCAGTCACAAGCAGCCTTGCGTCGCGACTTTGGTTGGGCAATCGACCAAATGCTTCGATGCGACTACGATCAATTAGCACCACCAATCTGGTCCTTGTGTTTTCTATAAGAAAGCAAAAGGTTTGTTAGCCTAGTATGTTAATGAAAAGTTAAAAGATGAGAAATCTGGAAATTAAATGGAAAACCTACTCGGTTCATTAAATTTACAGATTCCATCGTACTCGAAGAAAAAATATTTGGTTTCATAAGCCCCAACATTGCTGGGGTAACCAAATATCCCTCTATCAATCGTTGATCACTTGGAGAAGTAGTACGAGTCCTCGTCTTTACTCTTCTTTATATATTAGGTGCAGCTGAGCTCTTCTGCTGTTGGCTCGCTGAGGTTGTCTTCGCCAAATGTTATATACATAGCAACTGCTATCATATATGCATTTGGCGTCAACTAGAATGGCGCGATCTGGAAATGGTCGAGAATCGACCTGATGTAAGGATGGAGGGGTATCCTTACCCCACATTTGAAGATCGCTTCTGAGATAGCGACCATTCCTTCGAGAGGTTCCTAAGCAATGTGTGACCTATACCGATACACATTTACGTTGATCGTGTATTGGTCTATTACTTTTGGATTTCATCCTTCGTGACTGTTGATCGTATCACTTTTTTGGGACCCTTTGTGGTGCCTGATGGTTACAAGCTTCCCTCTCCAATAGTTCTCACTTCAGGAGTATCCATTGCTCTTCAAGTCTGTAAATGTGCAACATGTAAAGGTGACTTAGTCTCTGTATACATTACCTCATACAGTAACTCATGAGAGTAAGAGAACCTTGTTTCTCTTACATAACCGCCAAAACCCCCAAAACTCTAAAAATTCTTAAGAAAGATTTGCGCCCTAAGTTTTGACTCTTAATAGTGTTACTTCTCAAACAGTATCCAAGAATGTTCATGTCTGAGCCTATCAGACTTCCATACCCACCATTATCGTAAAAATTAAGTTTTTGATAGCAATGGAAAAGAGAAGAAAAGAAGAAATTTTCTTTACCTCTTGATTGTTGGGAATGGTTGCTCTATCGTAGTGTCGAGTGCACATTAACCGGGAAGGGGATGAATTGATCTTTTAAGTGCAAAAACGTTGTTTTTTCTTCTCTAAAAGTTTGAGTTCTGTGAAAGAACTTAGAATGGGGTTTGTGTTTTATAGGGTGGGAGGCGACGTTTGGTATCTTTTATGAGCGACATTTGGGCGGGAACGCGTTTCGAGCCATTGATTGTGACCACGTGTCATTAATCTGCACGAAGAGTAACCTTCACGCTTCGTGGAGATCAATCAACACCTTTCTTTATTGAAATCGCCAAGCGCTAGCGTGATTATCTCCTCCACATTAAATGCGCCCTCATCCGCATTTAATGTTTCAAAAGGGAATGTCATTTCAGCATGGCTAGCATTTAATGCTCATGGCTGGTGCTTATTACGCAGAGAATGTTTGTCAGATAAAGCTTATTTTATTAACCAAGATAGCTGTCAAGCGCAACAGATAACATATGAGGAGGTCGTTTGAATAAGACACTTTTTTCCATGTGTCAAATTCAAGCGAGGTGATCCTTAATTTTTTACAGCAAAATATTTTAAGTGTTTTCAAGTCGTGAATGGCGAGTAGAGTTCGAAATACATTTTTATAGCACTAAGCATGATCCGACACAGGTCGTTGAACTTTTTGGAACGATCACTTCAGGTCGCTTATGTAACTCTCAAAAACCCATGTCACGATCTACACTCAGTTCGCTAGTCGAGGCGGACTATCAACATCATGTCGTTTGTAACAATGTGACTAATTTCAACTATTAGTTCAGGCAAATGCTTCTCGAGACAAGTCAGGTCGCGACATAATCATGAAGTTCTCAAGATTCAATCTTTGAACCTTAAGAACTGAGGAGCTTCTGTTATGCTTAAAAAATCAGGGCTGACGTCAGCCCATGTTAGCAAGCACCAATCAGAGTTTAGGAAGGCTTTGTGCTATCTAAGAGCTGCCACGTCGCTCCATGACAGGAAGAATATGGTTGTCATCAACTTGACATATTTAGGTTTTGTCTATGAGTGATAAAGTGCTGCACACTTGTCCAAGCCTCAGGTAATTTGAGATATCTCCTAAGTTATTAGCCAATGGAGGCAAGGAAGGACCTATACGACACCTACCCACTTACAGATTTGTAATCATTATCTTGAATTCTTCTACTATAAATAGAGGACTCCCCCTCTCATTTTCGGGATTCTGATAAAAAAAACTTCATTCTGCTTGTAATCTTTATTTTCAAAGCAAAGACAACCTACGAGAAAGAGACTGATTTGATATTCTCTCTGAATATTAAGTTATTGTACCTCTGCTCATTGTTCGTTATACGCGACCTTTTGTAATCTCCCATATATAAAAGAAACAGTAGACGTATATTCGTTTTAAGCATTCGAACCACTTAAACAACCATCTCTCATTTATTATTTAGTCTTTGCATTTGATTATCCCAATCATTCACATGTAATTTCTAAGAGCAGCTTAGCACTTTGCACATGTGAGTCATTGGTGTTAAAATCAAGCATCAACACATGAGATCATTGTTCTCTTGCGCAGCCACTTCAGAGAAACAAAATGAAAAGACTACAAACATGAAAATGCAAACACAAAAAGATTCTGATGCCTTAATTAAGCTAATTTTGGGATGAGCTTCAAGGGCCAACTGGAGTCTATATTGATAGTCATATACAGTTGACTACTTCAAAATCGATGTACCATTGACGTAAGTCTGTCAAAAAAAAAATTAATGCAATTTGTATTATGTA